CTTAACAGCAACCCAGTCCTGGAGCAGGATGGTCTGGTTCGGCCGGGCTGTGGGAAGCGGCCAGGAGCCATTAGCTCGCCAGCGCTCGGGATGCTCGCCATGTGGGCCGTAGGGCGAGGAGGTGATGACGTTCCCAATGCCCCAGCGCTTCCTGGCTGCATATAAAATCATCCTACTATTTTGTAATAGGGTCTACATATGATATATATATACAAGGAAATCTTGGGGGGGGTATAATAAAGGGTTATATAAGGATAATGGANNAAGAAAATGGAAGCTACCATGTACATCCTAACTACACCTGGGATTAGAGTTTGGACTGCAGGGAGAGGTCTGACTTCGGTGGATGAGTTGCAAAGCTGTGCATTGCAAATAGAAAGAGGCCAAAAACAGATCTTTGACACATCCCCTCCTGTCGACCATGGTCTTGTAGTTCCAGACCACATCCATCTCCTGTGAAGAACATCCCGCTTGGGGAGACCCACGAGCGGGTTGAGTTTAGCACCAACACCAAGACGTGAATGTTTGCGGGTGTGGATCCCATCTGAGGGGTTTGCATAATAAAGGCCCTACGATACCTGCCCCCCAGCAGTAGTGGCAGCTGCAGTAGTCGCAGCAATACTGATGCTATGAAGCCTTGTTCATGTAGATCAGGATCTTGTTGATGTAGCGGGCCCGGGGTGGCAGCTCCTGCTTCAGCTCACGTGGCTCCTTCCAGGCTGCAGGGGGGAAACTAGACGATGTGAATAGGGCTTCATTAAGGCCTTTCTGTTCTTAGAAAAAGGGTTACAGGGTTTGTTCCAAGGATTAGCAGAGGAGAACCTGGCGAGGCCTCAACGCATAATTACTTAGAAGGGGCTTGATTTAGAATAGAATGTAGTTATGTAAGGTATATGGCGTTGCTGTCCAAGCAATGCCAAACTCACACAGTAGAAATTCAGGTTCAGCCAACGGTCCCGAATTTGTAATCCAAACCGGCTTTCCCGCGGTTTCTGCAAAACTGTCCTAGCGACAGCCCACGTGCCCATTCTGAGAATGCAAGCCTAAACCCTA